GACAGAGCAAGACTCCATCTCAAAAAAAAAAAAAATTATCAAGGTTTCTTAGGGATGATATTGGAATAAAGTAATCCTTAGACAGTTTTAGCAGGGATGGTAGCAGTTTTATTTGCCCCGTTATTTGTGAAAAAAAGGGGGCAAGAAAATGGAAAGAGCACAGACCTCAGAGCTAGATCTAAGTTTGAATCGTAGTGCCACAGTTTGTTGTGAGGCCTTGGCTAGGCTACTTATCTTTTCTGCATTTGATTCCTATAAAATGGGGGATAACAAAGTAAAGCGCGTGAAGCTCGGCGTGTGGTCAGCTTTCCTGGGTATTTTGAGCCTCAAGCGTAGCATGTTTAAGATGGGCTGGCTCTGTGTGGCTTTCTGAAAGTGACAATATCATTCATTTTTATTGATTCTTTCACCTTCAACTTTTAAGAAGAAGATATTTTCATCTGTCTCCAAATCTGGTAGTACAGTCTCTGTGGCCAGCAGTGCACTTACAGCACTCTTCCTTACTGTGTTATAAACAGGCTACATATTTTTCTACTTAGGTTCCAGCACCAGAACAAGTTGAAAAAGGAGGTGTGAGCAATATAACAGAAGCCAAACTCATAGTTTTCCTGACCTCAAGTTTTATTAAGGTAATTTAAAATTTTCAAGGCTAATAAATATTAAGGTGCAGAGTAGTAGCATATTAGACTGTAAGAAACTTACCAGGCATTAACCCTTGTTTATTAAGATGGGGGGACTAAAGGCTGATTGTTTTTATTTTGAGTAAATTCATCTAAAACATGTAATTTTTTATAATGGCATTTGGAGTTTTCATTTAGGATAATTTTGTGATGTCATAATTGTGTCAATACTGTACTGTGCTCACTATGATTGGGGATTGGAAACTTTTCTATGTAAAGGATAGCAGAAAGTGAAACGTATTTCGTTGTACTTTTTTGCATGTGGCAGCACTGTTGTAGTGGCATACAAACCCTTGTGCTGCCATGAACCTCTAAAAATCAAGGGAACAATCTCGAATTATTTCATCATGGGAAATATGGACATAAATTTAGAGCAAATTCAATAATTGTATTTCATCCTTGAGATAGGAACATCTGTTGTAAACATCAGTTGGTTACATAATATAAACATTTAATTAAAAAAGTTCAGAAAAACTTAAATAATTTAAAAATCAGGATTTTTCATTTTAAATTATGTCTTTTTCTGTTTAGGCTGGATCTAATCCCTCTGATATTGGTATCATTGCACC